TTCAGCAGGTAAGTTGATCAGAGGTTCGTGTGCTGAGTGGAGATGTGAGTATATTGGGGTGATTTCAGAGACATGATTGTTTTTTATTGGAATTGTATTTAGAAAGTGTAAGAAGCTTGTACAGTATTAAAACTGCTTCATAATGGAATGGGCCTTTTAGAATGTTCTCATTTGCCATGGGTATTTTTCTTTTTAATAAACTAGCCAGTGAGATAGTCATAGTAATACCAGACTAAGATGGTGGGTTTATGTTTTTTTAAAGAGATGATAAAGAGGTGATCAGTTTTAACACCTAATTATGCACATCAGAAATTTATGTAAGAGCTAATGTGTTTTAATTGATACAGATTCCTCTTTAAAGCTCAACATGTAGAATATTCTAATAAGGCTCAAATTTAGGCTGCTGAAGAAAAGGATTTTTGTTGCATTCTGAGATTAAGTGCTGTAAAGATGATAAGTTTGTAATGATGCATTTTGGATACTAACCAAAGCAATTCTAATTGGTGAAGTTAGCCAGTCGCTCACTTGGTGCTAAACCAAGATTGTACTGTAATTGCACTTTGCTGTGGTCTTTTAATTTATTTTTTATTTGGTCCACCTAGAGCTTTAGAATGATCACCTTATTTTACCTAATTCATTGCACAAGATCTCTCGCTTTTAGATTCGTCACTCATCATACCTAATGCCTCTTTTTTTTGTTTGCTTGTTTTTAATTTGCAGAATTTTGTAGTTGTTTTAAAATTTCTAACTAGACTACTCAATTTTTACCAGGCTTAATTGCATTTAGTACATGTGTGTCAATTGCTAGCATTATAAAAACTAGCATTATAATATTCAGCCTTTCATTCCCACTGTTCAGTAGCACTAATTTACAGCCAGTTGTTTGTATTTACTTTCCCAATAAATACAAGTGCACTACTTGGAGACATTAATCTATTTTGTCCTCTGTTTTGCAATCAGTAATTTATTAAAGATAGTGGATAATATTTGGGAACTGTAGAACTATAGTATCACTGTTATTTTAATATTTTAATTAGAAGAACTGAGCTTCTGAGTTTCTTATGTTTCTGATTCACGTAACATACACAAGTCGAACTTAAACATTTTCGTAACACTTCTTATTAACATTAGTGGCAAACATTTTATCTATAAATATGGGTGCCACCTTGGTCTTTTCCTTGCTGTAAAGAATCAAAATAGAATATTTCAGCCCTAGCAATGTTTTGTAGAGGTCATCCCTTGTACCTATGGGGATTCAATACACAAAAAGCATGTTTAATAGCACAATTACTTACAGCATTACAACTATTTAGCAGCCAAAATGGCAGACAGTTAAATGTATAATTGAAGTGCTGCACAGTATGTGACATTTGCTTTAAACATACATTGTATGTGTAACTCTAATTTTTAATCTGTCAGCTCTCAAGTGTAGTATGACATTTTAAATATTGATCACAGTACATGAATTCATTTGTTATATACAATGCCTTTTTAATGTAAAAGTCGCAACATCAAAGCCAATAAAAATACTGCTTCATAATAGTGGTTTGATGTTTTTCTTACCTATATATAATAACTTGAAACTTATACTGTGTATTTAAAATATACTATGTCAATCAGGCCTGGTCGAATATGAGTAGAACGAGTTTGGAGAACTCGTATGAGAAAATTTTTTTTTCTCTTTTGAATTCTGTAAAGAAATATCTTAATTTTTTAGATATAATTGCCTTTTAGCTATTTAAAGTTTTTAATATACATGGAGGATATGTGTCTTCTGAGTGAATATTGTGAGAGCTTGTGCATGAATAGGTTTGGATTAGGTTTATTAATGCCAGTAGCATAAGGAAGTCTAAGAAGTTTATACAAAGTTCAAACTTCAACCAAAACAAGCCAAAGATTTGTAACAGAAATGCTAGAGTTGCTTTTAAGGAACAAATAATCGGACGTTCTCCTGTTGGTAACCTCCAATGCTCAAGGAGATGATTTTCTGTGGTTATTCTTTTTGTCCCTTTCCAACTGCTTTTAATACCGTGTTTCAGTTCTGTTTGGTAAAGTTGCTGAGATCTGCTGGATGGAATGATGCTGCAACAGAAAATAATTTTTTGAACAAAAAAGTGTTGGTAGCAGCTGTGTTGTGTGTTTCTGTGGAGAAGCTACTGTGCAATGATTTTGGAACCCTAAAATGATGCTGCTTAATTTAAATACATGCTGAATTTATGATTGCTAAATATTTCACTTGTGAAGACAGAACGTGAAAGATGTTTTTATCTTTGCAGGTAGATACTTTAGTAAAGACATAAGAGCTTAGAAGTTACTAAAGTATTACTTTTAATTCAAGACAAGTTAGTGATGCTATGTAAAATATTATTAGCTTTAATCACAAGGTATTATTCTAATACTATATGTAAGATTTTCAAGTTGCAGTTCTCAGTCTTCAGTATAAACATCTGTTCTGTGCAGTGATTCAGAATTGCACAGGACTACCTGTTTAAAATGGCGAGCTCTAGTCTGTCAGTCCATAGCCTCACTTGTAGGGAACCTGTGCTTCCAAATATATTTGTGTGTAGCTAGTTCCATGTTAATCAGTATATTTTTAATTATGATTAATACATTTGTTTGAATTTAATACTGCTGAGCGTTACCTGTAATATTAAACAATACTTTAAAATCTGTGCAGCACATCTAGAGATCAGATTTTCCAACCATACATTCCAAGAAATACAGTTTCATTTTCTTTTGGATTTTTTTTGTCAATTAAGGGGTTTGCTCTCTGGATTCTTTCAGCAAGATAGGATTTGCAGCAGTAATAATGTACATTACTAAATTATGAATTTGTCAGTATGGTTGAATGCTGTCAATTGTTTTGTATCTATTACCAGTGGAAACGAGAGCAAGAATTTGATTTGCAGTTACTTGAGAGGGCAATTCATGGAGAAGAGAAGGATGAAAATGAATGGTTAAAAGTTCAGCCAGTAGCAGTGACAGAGACAGACCTGGAGCCTCAAGACTATGATTTAGATATCAGCAGAGAGGTAACACAATTCTTTGCCTTCTATTTGGTGCCCCAAAATATTAACCTTTCTAAGTTTTAAGTAGTGAATTCTTATCTTTTCTTTCAAAAGTTGGGTGGAAGTTTGTACTTAAGGGAGTCTTTTGGACGTTGAAAATTTGTGGCCTGGCATTTAGAATCTCTGTAAGGTTCATGTTCATGTTGTGTTATCTCAGGCTTTATAATGGAAAAAGTGATTAAGTTAGGGAATGTTACATAAATTTGAAAAAAAAGATAAGAAGACACCATCAAGAATATTTGAAAATAGGAAACAGGAATGAGGTAAAGTTCGGTCACCAGAGCTACCATACTTATCATTTTGACTGGCAAACATGTCAGAGAAGAGAGATGACTGCTTCCTTTGGGTCAGAGCAGTGAACACCTTTCTGTCAGCTTTTCGAGTGACTTGTTGTTCTGGGCACTAGATCTTTTTTCAGCACTAGAAACCGAGTGAAGTATTTGTTTGAAATACGATTGAGCCATCTGGTGGAAAAGAAAGAATATAGCAAGTGGAAACATTTGAGTAGGTGCTACATATTGTGTAAAATGCCATGGCAGATGGAAAAACCAGTGAAATTATTAATGATAATTAGACTAGTAAGCACCTCTAATCTTCAGAAAGCTGTTGGCAATGTGTCATTTTATACATACAGAAATATTTGTAAGAGGTTGAATCTGTGAGCTGTTATCTCTTGATCTTTGTAAATTAACATATATTTCAATTAATCTTTGTATATTTTCTACAGAAAATGCAGTGCTTCTAGAAATTTAAGAAACAGAAAAAATACCCTCATTGTATTGCCTTCCTTTTTTGCACTCTGCTATTAAATGTTTTTTTTCAGGAGGTCTCCAGGACTACATCAATCACTTGATAAATCCAAATTAGTGTCTTAAGCCTAGGATAGGAAACATTTTTGTTTATAGGCATTTTTGTCCTACTTCAGAACAGCTGAAGCTGGTTCAAAGGTCTGAGTGTAAAGCTTCTTTCTCAGATTACCTGGACTGTCTTTTTCCACTTCATGATCCATCCTTTTCACCTGGCAGGTACTTCTATACCTGAAGTACTTTTGTGCCTCATAAGGAAATGTACACAGTTGTGTCCCTAAGGCCAGCAGAAATCTGCTGTTCACATGGTAACTGAGTTTGTTATTCTGGAAGTGGCATGATGAGCTGATCTAGGTTAGTTATAATATGGAGATACATATAAAAATTTTTAAAAAGGATTTTACATGTGTATGTAGCTCCACAGCTCCAAAGAGAACTTACATTTGAAGGCAAGGAAGTGAAGTGGAAAGTGAGTTTTTTTCAGGAAACATTGGCCTTGAATTTACTGAGAAGAAGTATAAAATTTTTGAGGTTGTGATTTTAATGTGGTTATGAGTGCCATGCACTGTATTGTGTGCTTCCTTCTGTGATAGCCTGTGCATTACTGAGCCTAATCACTGAGAGCTGGGTCAGGCCACTTTATATATGCCATTGAATTAGTGTTGATTAAGTTGAGTTTTGAAAAATTTCAGATAATTCTTATTTTAAACTTTAAATTTTGAAAACTCATTGTCTTATGAATGTTTTAGCAAAAATCCAAAGAGGAGAATTAAAAATAGTTCCCCTTTACTTAATTTATTCACACATCCTCTATTT